GGAGGTAAAGCATTGTAATTAATAGTAAGTGATCAGAGCAAAGGGGAGCTGTCGGTTGGGGGACTTCCTGGAAGATTTTATCATATACTCAGGATGTATAGGAGAGCTATGCAATTCTTTTATAGTAGTATATTGGGGAGCCAGAGGGGGGGTCGCTTCCCAGTAAGGCTGCCAGTTTCTGGAGCAAATAGCAAACAGCCTTGCTGACATGCTAACTGACCCAAGCTTTGTTCCAAGGTTGGGGGGTGCACAACAGTAGCCTTGCCAACGTGTTGATCCGACTGGAAGCGGAGCTCAAAGGTGGGTGGGGGGGCTCAGACAGATCCTGGGGCCTCACCGGGTCGGACTCTTCCAGGTACCCTTGACAGAGTCTTACCATGCTATCAGCCTTCCAGCCAGTCAGGACCGTGTGTGCATCACGTGTTCAGGTCAACCTTCATCTGAACCGGGAGCTCCGACGTGGCTCCAGGATTACGTGGGCGTGCCCTCCCATCACAGGGCTCCAGGGTTACGTGGGCGTGCCCTCCCATCATAGGACTCCAGGATTACGTGGGCGTGCCCTCCCATCACAGGGCTCCAGGATTACGTGGGCGTGCTCTCCCATGTAGCCACTGTGACTGGGCCATTTCCCTGTTTTTAAAGTTACTTGTCTTCTCACTGTTGAGTTGTAAGAGTTCTTGATAGATTCTGGGTAGCAAACACTTAGGAGATACATTTGCAAATATTTTCCCATCTGTGTGGATTGCCTTCCCCCTTTCTTGGTGATGTCCTTTGAGATACAAAGGTTTATGATTTTGATGAGGCCTAATTGATTTATTGTGCCATTGCTGTTTGTGCCTTTGCTGTCACAAGTAAGAAACTATTGAGGGACCAGCAGGTGGCATGGTGGTTAAGGCTCTGGACACTCCCACATGGCCGACCACGGTTTGAATCCCAGACATGGTGGCTTGCTTTCTCACTTTCCCTTTCTCTCTCTCGCTGTGTCTCTCTCTGCCCAAATTAAAATAAATGAGTGAATAAGTAAAATTAAATGATTGTTAAAAAAAAAAGAAACTTGAAAATTTACCCTTCATTTTCCCCAAGGACCTTACATTTAGGCCCTTGTACACGATGCAAGGTCGAGTCTTGACGTCGTTGTTTGCAGGCGAGCATCCGTTTGTCTCGTCGTTTGTTGGGAAGGTTGTTCTCTGCCCATGGGGGCTTGTCTCCTTTTACTCAGTGTTCCCCAAAGATTCATCCGCGCTGTGAGGTCCGTCAGCGATTGGTTCCCTCTTCTGGCTGCGTAGTACTCCGTGGTGTGGGTATGCCACACTAATTACTCACCTGCTGGAGGGCATCTCGGTGTGCTCTGGTTTTAGCGGTTACAAGTCCGACTTCTGTGAATGCGCTTATATAGGTTTGTGCGTGAACATACGCTTTCATTTTTCTGGGATAAGTGCACAGAAATGCAGTTGATGAGCATGCGGTGATTTTGTGCTTCGTTTTTATTGGAAACTGCGAGAGGCGGCAGACTTCTACGTTCTTAGCAGCAATGTGCGTTTTCTGCACCCTCGCCAGATGCGGCGTGGCCGCCATTTTTATTTTAGGCTTTGTTTCTGTTTTTAACTTGTCGAGGGGTGTGCGCTCATAGGAGAGAAGTGGGAAGGCGACTTCCGTGGGGACGGTCACCACACTCCCTCCGTTTCCCCTCACTTTGGGATTTGGGGCGTGTGTGCCTGGTGCGTTTCTTAAGCTGCAGGGTCTGGGCCTTGAACCGTATG